TGGATATTTTTCATCTTAAATATCAGTAGATTTTCTTAAATATTTGTTTAAGGTTCTTCATTCCTCCAACTGGTCATGGTTTACTGTGTTTATGTGATTACACCTTGTTGTTATTGTTACAGTTCCTTATATATATGCTCCGCATTATTTTGTTAAATGCATAGATAGGTAATGGAATTGTTCTAAATCACTGTAGTGTAAGGGTAAGTATGCGTAATTGCATCAGGGGCGTAATAATAAGAATTTCTATTATTTACGATCAATGTCATAACCTATAAAATATACTCATTATTGAAGGGTAATATGGTCATTATACAGTACTAAATTTTTAGCAAACAACATGCACCCCTTACATTTTCCTTCCAGAACGTTCTCTCTCTTCCTTTCATGTTGCAATTGAGAGATGACTCAAGAAAAAGAATTGGCAAATTGATTGGATCTTTCCTAAACCTCCTCTTTCTAGACCTAATATGTGATCTATCTTATTCATAGACTTCTCTTGTGATGCTAATAAAGCAGGAATGGATGGTGTAAATGATTTAATTATCGGTATATATAATCAGTTTATACTTAAATATAATAGAAATTTGTAACATAGGTAGCTTTATGAACTTTTTTTAAAATAAAAATGATATCTAGAAGGATTGTAACATGTCATATTTTACAATTCTTAAGAGTAAGCATATGTTAAAATATGCTTTTGATAAATTGTTTTTTCGTTGAAGAATATATATACAAAATAAAATTGTCACCGCATAATGAATCTTTCTGATTGATGTAAAAATGGGCTCGAGAGGGATTGTAACCTATCATATATTTTTATTTGTTCAAAAGAGTAACTTAAAATTGAGCTCAAGCAAAGACACTTTTTTTTAAAAAAAAAAGACAAGAATTAACCTTTTTTCTTAAAGTTTGCATAAATGACATATTATAGTCTATTCTATTAGTCTAGACTAGAAAGAATGAACTAGTTCACATTCGCTCGTAAATATGAGAGAATCCTGTTCAATATTTCAACTTTTAATTGTACGAAGAATTTTTCACTAAGCTAACGTATCAGAACAAATTTTCTTTACATTGTCAATACATATAACTAACACTTACCTTTTGCTACATTCCTTTGAAATGATTCTCTCAAGTACCATATTATTGGCTTGAGTTCAAAAAGGTATATAACAAAAGAGATATAAGATCCTTGTGACAGGAGAATACAGATAAACTGAAAATTAACATTCACACTTCACTCGTATACTGACTCCATTTCATGAAATCATCTTCATCGTCATACTCCTTAACTGGATTCTCCATTTCTGGAACATCTTGCTCCACTGTTTCAACTTCTTTTTCCTCAACATGTTCAGACTTTGCTTCTTCCTCCTGTGCAAAATAATCATGCAGAATCAGGAAATCGGAAAGAAAAAAGAAGACAATTTCTCGAGGTCAACCCTGATAATAGTCTACTCAAACCACGTAGGCCACATTCCTCCTTAATTTCTCCAGCCAGGTAATAACACAAAAAACATCATAATGGCATGCATGTGCATTAGTATAATGATGCATTATGCAGATATAACATTATAGAAAAGAAACATAATAGATAAGGGCCTGCACCCCCCCCCCCCCCCCCTCCCCCCGCACAGAGGAAGATATACAAGAAAGCTGATGAGAAGAGAAGATTCATACATAGATCTCCTGAGTCCCCATTTCCTCCTCCCCAGTCAAGTCAATTGACTCGTCTTTATCAGCGTACTGCAATTCCTCAGCTTCAATTTGCTTTAAACGCTCGATTACTCGTTCGAAGTGGGAATGATCTGCAACAAGTATAGTATCATGTAAAACCTCTATAGAAGACTTCAAAAAAAATGTGACACATTTTACTAAAAAAGGCTCTCTTCTTCAGGTCAATGATCCTTTTTCCCTCTGTGATGGTCTGATGACAAAGAGGGAAAATTTAAGTGGTGCATGCTTGTCATGCTGATGAAACATTACTCTTTATTGGATGAAAAAGAAATTTTGCATTTATACAATGCATCCCCAAACTCTATTTTACGCCCATTTAAAACGAAATGTTATCATAACAATGAGTCTTGGCAAAAGAAATAGATGTGAGTGCAGCAGAGAAAGTTGAACAACATTTACCTTTAGAACGATTTGTTAGAGCATCATGAAGCCTAAATGGATTTTGCCGCTCTTCTTTCTTGTATTTTAGCTTTAGTTGTCTACGTGTCCGGCCAGGAAAAAGTTGTTGTATAAGGGATAAATCTGTCCCAAACTGCTGCACAGCCTGAGGACAAGTTTGTTTAAATGTTTAAGAGAATACCAAGGAAAAAGAACAAAAGAGTATGGAGTGCATCACAGTACCATTCATGCCAATCACATAAAGCATCTTTATCCATTAGCTCTATTTGGTGTCATGACACTATCAAGTAAACAGTAATATAATCTTTTTTCAAATACCTGAATACTCATTGCATCTGGGGTCTGCTCCCCTACTCTTCACATAAAACTTAACAATTATAATATAAAAGGGAATTTATCCCATATGTTTCGGTATGGATACCTAAGGTAGTGGGGTAAGGTCTGGGACTCTGGGTACACTCTACCCTCCCCACACCCCACTTGTGGGACCTCAATGGGTATGTCGTTGTTATGGGTGCCTTTGAATCCCACAATTCACTTGGATAAGTATATTCATGTAATATTTGAAAAGGACCTTATCTCAAATAGAGAAAACAAAGCAACAGTTATAAATAAATAAATACCAACAAGCATGTCCTACAGGAGTCTTTCACTGCTATCTCATAGGAAGGTCTCAACAATTGAAGCAAATTTGATTTAAATAGAATTGACAGATCTATGAAAGGAGTCCACAAACTTTGATATAGAATGTGTAGGTGAATCTGCTAATAACTTGAGCACTTTATAAGTTGCACTTGTAAGGATCCCCTATTTAAAACTTATTTTTCTTGATCAAATTACAATTATCTCCCTATTTTACTTGTGCATCTTTCAGTAGGCTACAAATGAAAGGGGTGTACCTCATAGAAAAGTTCTGTGTCCTGTTTTGACCACCTTGTGCTGGGGGTTTTGTCCATGTAAGTCTGATAATTGAAGTAGACAGAAGTATCTTCAGCCATAGTACTTTTACTATGATCATCACCTTCCCCATCTTCATCTGAAGCATAGGTCTCATCCTCATCATAATTAGAAACAGATGCACCAGCACTGCACAAGCACAAGTCATGAAGAAACTGTGACTTGAAAAGGAAAGGATCTCGTCCCGAAGGCAAAAATACATGCAACACCATCCAGCACAAGTAAAAATGTGCACTTTGACACAAAAAAAACAACTGATAACAAAGCTATTCCAGCATGCATCAAACTTCTAAGATCTCTTGTCCTGATAATTTTACCTTCCGGAAATATGAATTAGAGTACTTTATAATTATTTCTCATATTAGATATGACAATTATACATCTCAAACCATGTCAAAGATCACCTAGTATGACCTCCTAATATCTATATTGGCTTGAAGGAGCACAAATTATATAACAAATTTAGGCATGAAGTATTTACTAATGGCATCTCTCTTCTCATTTACCTATGACTAACGAAAATAGCTTCTCATAACAGACCCCATATGGCCATTATAAATTGGTCAAGAGAAACATTAAAGAAGAATTGATATGAGAGTGGTTGGACTGGTAATTTAAACAGTTCTAAAAGTAAAGAAAATAATGAAGCTGTAGACAATATAAGAAAGACCAGTGATGCTCTTAAACAGTTAGAAGCAGACGTTATGAATAGAAAATAGAATGTGTCAAGCCAATAATAACCTATACACATCATCTACATTTTCACTATCAACAAGAACAGATTTATTAAACTATGGAGTAAACAGAGAAACACTAAGCAAATGGTTAAACACGGGTTAGTATTTTTTTTTCACAAATAAAGCAAAAGGTTAATGTAGATTATTATATTTTATTTAATTGTATATAAGCTTCTGATACCTCTGATCTGTAGTAGTAGGTATTTGTGACACTGCTGCGTCTTTTTTCTGCAAGGATGGCAAGCAATGAAACAAGAGAATCAAGGATGACTGTCAAATAACAAAATTTATCATTTTAAGTTTTCCTTGTTTTAAAAGGTTGATGGCAAACAAGAGAAAAATAAAGAAGAAACATACCGCCAACCGCTCTTTGTGCTCAGCTAATAAAATTAGATCCTTAATAGGCACCTTTGAATAGTCAATCTCATCCATGGGAGCCTCAAGCAAAGCCTTGTCCACTGTAAACAAGGAAGTTCCTGGTCAACAAACAATCATAACCATAACTAACCCAAACGGAAGCAATATCCACTAGGTTTACCTGTTCTCCTCTTTTGACGAGTGGAATGAGAAAACTTTTTAGGCTTCTTGTTGGCTGCCTGATCAGAAGCTTCAGCAGTCTTTTTACTCTTCCTAACTCGTTTTCCTTCCTTAGTAACTGTTTTCTTGGACTTCTTCTGTACCTTTTTCCCTTGTGAGTCATTTTCCACCAAAAACTCCTCACCATTCCCAATTGTAACAGAATCATTAGGCTGTTCAGGCACATATTCCCCATCACCAATTACGTCTTCATCAGACTCATCTACTAGTCTAGATGCATTCACGGACTTTCTTCTACTCCTTAATGATCTACTCTCTCCGTTCTCTTCACTAATTGCAGAAAGTTCAGATGTAGAGAATTTTTGTTTTTTAGTCTTAGGCCTCTGAGGTACCTAAAAAGACAGTTGCAAGTGGGTTAAGAAGAGGAACAAAGGACTCCAACGAGGCAAGCCATTGCAGAAATTAGAGAAATAACTGAAAGAATTCGAAAAACAAGTTAAGGATTTACAGGTTCCTCAGGCATTTGAGAAGTAGCCTCAGAGTGTTTTGCTGGGATGTCAGCATCTGGAAGAGAAGCCTCTGCAACATATTCTTCATGAACTGGAAATTCATGTGCAGATTCTGTAATAATATTATTATCAAATCCTCTGACTGAGAAGTCAAGGACATCAGCAGCAGGTAATCCATGTTCCTTCCCATTATCCACAAAATCCATTTCAGAATGAACGGAGTGTGAATCTGGCAGACATGACACAGACTCTCCTACATCTAAATCAGGAATGATTGTATCATATCTCTCTCTGTATACTTGTAACTTGGGCTTGGGTTGGAATCTTCTACTCTGCCCTGAATAAAGATAAGAAATTTAGAAGGAGCACAGGATATAACCAGGTACTAGTGTAGGAACCTAAAAATTCAGTCATACCAGATATAGTAGTGACCCCAAGGATATCAGCTTCCAAGGAAGAGTAGGTGTCCATTTCCTGCAACCAACAAAGCTAGAATTTTCGTAAGTGTGCCAAGGAATTTAAGTGGCAATGTTTCTCTACTCAGAGTAGAAAGGAGGGAAGGACATGAATTTGACCATCTGACAACTTCCACTAACAGAAAGAACACTTGCTTGGAATGTTAATGGATCTTGGCCTGCTGCAACTTCATCAGATTGAAGATTGGAAGCACTATGAGCTGAACCATCAACTGAAGAAACTGGAATTAAAAGCTGTTCTTGTCGCTTCTCTGCACCAGCAGCATGAGCAGCAGATGGATCTGTAGCAGGACTAGAACTCTCAGAATTATATGCAGCACAGAATTTTAATAATTTAATCTATAATTGGCCAATTATTCAAAAGAAAGGAACCCTTTTGCAGCATCCAAAATCAAGTACTAATTAATAGAAATTATGAAGGAAAATTCAGCAATAAGTGAACAGAAGAAGATTAGTTGTGACCTATGCCGCTTGAGTGAGGAAGTAAATCATCAAATGAATCCAAACCTATATATATGTCTGCATTCTGAAAACTGAAGAAATTTAGTAAGGATACAAAAGGTTTGTTAACGTGATCAAGCTATGGATAAGAAAATATCACCTCTCCCTCAGATTTCTCAAAGCAAGATTTCCAATTTTCATTGGTATCAGTTATTACCATACTTGCATCTAGACTAGAACCAACTGATGGAACCAAAGTATCTGCAGCAAGAGGATGCACCAAGGAAGGTTCTGCCAACACAGAGCTTTGTTCATCGCCTGCTTACATTTAACAACAGAAAATCATTCTTGAAGAAGTCTTACAGCATCAATGAAGAACAATATTAGACTATCGATGGCATATGTTATATGACATTTCAAAAGCTAAAAAAATATAGAACCAACTTTGTCTATGATGCAAATTCTTATTGCACACAAGAAGCAAAAGGTGTTTTGAAGGACAAAGGAACTCAATTCTGAAGATTAAATCTGATTTGTTTTTGCTGATTTGATCTAGGTGCAGATTGGAATGGACAGATGAGAGTGAAAAGCTGCTACAATTCCAAGAATCTTTCGTATAAATAGGCGGGTATTGTTATTTTTTTTTTTTGTTGCTAATTTAGCTCCCTTTTATTATGAAACAGCAGTTTCTTAGTGCTAGATTTTGACATCAATAATACTCGCCTCTACATAAATTATGCACAAAAGCACTCAACAGCTTTGATGACCCTCAGGGCCTCAACAGTTAATATGCGATCAAGTTTTGCAGCAATAAAATATTCTGGAAAAGAAAATAACAATAACATAAAGGCAAGAAAGCTAACAATTTTGAGAATTCTTTGCCTCTTAAGAGCTTCAGAGGAATCAGTTGCTACAGTATCACCAGTGGGTTTTGACGTCAAAGAAGAGGATGCAACAGCTGGAGCTTTCATTAATTTGTAAAGATCTTTTATCCTAAGTTCCTAAAATAAATCATAATACGACAGTTTCATTTTATTTATTTTTATGTATGCGTAGTTTTTGATTTCAAAAGGTGTCCCAATCATTTTATCATTAAACTTGCAAAATATGTTGAATTGATGATAAATATTAGTTGTAATTCATTTGAATTTTTGAAGAAATAAAAGTCAACTCTGTAGTTTTACCAAAAAAATATTTCATCCACTTCATCTTGTGCACTCTCCAGTTATACATTATGTACTTACAGTCTACAGAAGTGTATTTTGACAAGTAACTGATAATAGATTTAACGTATAAAAGCGTGATAATTCAAATATTCACTAAAATGATATATTGTGTGTGTTTTGAAATGCTAAAAGTGTTATTTTTACCCCACTTATGAAAGAAAATTAGTGTTTCTAAGGATAACAGAAACTAATTTCAGAGCTTGAGCTTGTTTGGCCAAACTGGTTGTGAAGAAAATCTATTTGTGGAACCAACCACTAGCGCTTGGGCACTAAAACTTGAAAAAACAAGACCATATATGAGGAATCTGCTCAAGTCCATAGTATTCAAATATGATTATCCAGAAAACATTTACTCAAATGAATTGAGGTAGGCAGTATTGACTAGAAAGCAAATTGCACCACAGGTTACATAAATATATATATATATATATATATATATATCCCAGCTAAACCGCATTGTTGCATGACTAACTCGCAACAGCAATGATTCTGTAGGAAAACAAATCTGCTTCATTTTTCGCATTCCTATCTATGTAAAATGAATGCCTCTCATAAAATATTGTTTCCTAAAGAATTACAACATCTAAACCCATCCTATGAATCCAGAACAACCAGCAAATCTTTTTTTTTTGAAGCAGAACTTTGTTCAATTAAACAATTTCCTACAATTCAGAGAGCATTGCATCTACATCATGTATAAGAACCAGGTTTCACCAAAAAGCTAGCAAATAAATACATTTGTGTTTAAGGCTAAGTATATTTCTTCTTTTGCCTTAAAAATTCTGCTATTTCTTTCAAGCCAACTGTCCACCAAATGGCCTGAGAAATAGTATTCCAAGTGTTTTGGAATTTCTTTTTGAGACCCTCGCTGTTTCAACTATTCAGTAGATCAATCTGGAGTTTGGCATAGTCTAATATATGCCAAGTAGTGCAAAATACATACCCAAAAATGAATTGGAGCTAACACTTCATGATGTCATTTAATGAAATTCCTTATCTCACAAAAAAATGTTTCAGTGTGCTAACTGCTAACCCTTCCCTGTGCTTCTCGAAACAAACTAAAAGGGGCACTTAAGCATTCCAAATTTAAGGGTCATTTGGCATGTGAATTACATTTAGAGAGAAGAAATTTTAACTGAAAAAAACTTGAATATGCAGTTAGCTAAATAAGGAGCAGAAACAAGGATTGCCAGAAGATAACAAGTATAAAAATCATTAGTTAGAGCTGAGTTTTCTTTTCTATTTTTCTTCTAACTTGAGGTCAGTGTCAGTCAATCTATATCATCTGCTATAGACTTAGAAAATAACAAGTCTGTTCTTTCCTTTTTATTTTGATAGGCATCAAACTGTTCAATTTCTTAGTGGTACCAACCAAAACAGCTGGTTTACCACTTTCACTTCCATAACGATGGGAACTCAAGACAGAATGGGGAGCTAAAAGAGCCAATGACAGATTAAACAATGGTGATTAGGAGGATTATTTTCATCAAGTCCAGCACCTTTTGAGATCCAACAAGGCAAGGAACCTTCTGAAAATACTGTCCAGTTTGTCGAAAAGGGAATCATAAGCAAGGCCATTGTGGGCAACAAGCTCACAATGCAAGTTGCAGATGAAAAGAGACTATCCAAGTCAGGGCAAAGAGCCAGGAAATACAACTGGGGACATAACAGAATTTATGGTGCAACTTCTTAGGATTTGAATCAAAAAGAAGAAGAAAAACACACGGAGCATTATTGCGTATGAAGTTCCAGAAGGAAATGTGAAAAACTTGGAGGGAAAATTGTTTGTGGGGAAGAGCTCTACTTCGAGTGATTGCAGAGAATTTGGTAGGTTCTGGTAGCATTTTACTGGTAGCCAAAGCAAAGAAGACAAATCACTTTGTCGTAGATCTTTCTTGAAACTCTAAGATGTGGCTTGCCTACTAGAGTAAGATAAATAGAATTGCCAGACTGGAGGCTAGTACCACCAGTGTCAACTTCAGTTCTTGCAATTTGAAACCAAAAGATTTTAAGAGTTGCTCAATTGTATACTAATTGGATACAGAATACAGTTCGCACTTGGCACAAAGACGGAGGGGACTTCTCAAGAAATCAAATCAGGAGCAATGTGATCCAAGGTTTAATATATCCTAGATTTCAATTAAGAAAAGATCAAATTTTTACCAAAGATTGGTGATGTGTTGCTCCAAGATTATTTTTTTTGTAAAATGTGAACAGAGGATTATAAAAAGGACCAATTGTAAGAAGGGATTTAAGGCAGCTAAGGTAAATGCTTAGCTGTCAGGATCAGATATCTTCTTATATTAGGTTTCTGTAGATTAAGGCTAAAGTTTGGTACATTTACACTTTCACTCCTTATATTCCAATAAAAAACTAATACTTCGGCAGGGGACTCCCTTATTGGCACAAGAACTTGAGCATTGTTCAAAAAGAAGAGATAAAGAAAGGAACTATAAAATCGAGAGTTAACAAAGCCAAGTGGGTATAGTATTAAAACTCAGCAAACACTGCAGCAATCTTACAATTTAGACTAAACATGCCTTTAACTGCTAAGGAAATATTGTTTACTACAAGGAGAGAATCAATGTAGACGAACACTAACTAGATCTCTCTCCTTTTTAACACTTGAATCTCCAACTGAGGTAGGCACAGTTATTCAATACATTATACATGAATTCCACACTCAAAGCCATCCTAGAGAAGACTTCAATGGACATTCCAAATGAAGAAATTTTTATAAAATGGTCCAGTTTCAAAACCCTTCTATAACTTGTGTGGTGCTGTGATTTATCTTTTCAAATACACACCAAAAAGACCATGGCATAACTACCTAAATCAGGTCCTACGACAAGACGGGTTGCTCACATGGTAATCATCCTCCACCCCCAGCCCTAAGGTTGGGGTTTGAGTCACCAACGGAGCAAAAAGGTGTGAGAGCTTCTGGGCAGGGTTAAAAAAATCAGGTCATACATCCCTTAAAGTTTTCTTAAACATCCCTAGTCATATTCTGCAATTTGTACTTCATAAACACTAGATATCCACCCAACTTTCCTAACTAGTGACACCCAAAAGCCAAATTTTCCACATTACACATCTTAATGAAATTTGCCTATCTTTTTTTCTAATTAAAACAATTCTTTACAACCAGAGCTGCTATAGAAATGAACTTATCACGCTACTGGTAAAATATTTGTCGTCAATTATCAATATTTACTTGCAAGGTATAAATTAAACTTGCTATCAATTATACTCCTTCTCATGTAAACCCTCTTTCTACTTTCACAAAAAGTCCAAAATTTTCCGTACATTTTTTTTTTTTGATGACAAGGAAAACCCGCAGCCGCTACCCTTTGGGTGTGCACAGGGTAAAAACCCCGCTCCTATGCAATAGCTCGCAAACCACATAGGAGAGGTAACCCGCACTAGGCAAGCCTGATGCGACGAGCTCGACCCAGAAGGCAAACCCCTTGCTTTAGCTGGCAAGGGGTTTCGAACTTGAGACCTCCAACATGGAAGTCCCAAGCCCAAACCACTGGGCCACCCCGAAGGGTAATTTTCCATACATTTTCTTAAAAACATAAACCAAGAAGTTCAACTAATTTACTTATCAATAGAATAACACAAACCCATCAATGAGTTCAACAAAAAATACATTAAAAAAATCAAGAAAATACCAAGAAATTGGGGAAAGGGAGAGGGTTTATATTGATCAACCCATCGGTAATAACAAAAAAAAAGGCCATTTGAAGAGATAGAAAGATACCTGAGATGTGAGATCTAAAGAGAAGCGCAATGAAAAGAATTGAGAGGTTTTTTCCTCTTTATGTAGTTGAAGAGTGAAGCTAGTCTTTTTGCACAAGTTTTTTATACGGGTCAGGTCGCGTGTCCGTTGAGGCCTTAAAGCAGGAATTGCGTCTGGTAGCCAGTTTCACCCTACTATTTAAGTTATATTAGGCAGGTATTGTTATTTTATTTTTTGTTGCTAATTTAGGTCCCTTTTATTATGAAACAGCACTAAGAGATTTTGACATCAATAATACTTGCCTCTTCATAAATTATGCACAAAAGCACTCAACAGTTTTGATGACCCTCAGGGCCTCAACAGTTAATATGCGATCAAGTTTTGCACCAATAAAATATTCTGGAAAAGAAAATAACAATAACATAAAGGCGAGAAAGCTAACAATTTTGAGAATTCTTTCCACTCTTAAGAGCTGAAGAGGAATCAGTTGCTACAGTATCACCAGTGGGTTTTGACGTCAAAGAAGAGGATGCAACAGCTGGACCTTTCTTCAACGGGCGGGGCTTGGCCTTGGGTTGAAACTTGCCACCAGCCTTGACTGCATTAAATAACAATATTAAGCTTAACCTTGAAAGAATGAAAATAACTTTCATCGCAAATTTAAAAGAAAAAACATTTTCTCCCTCCTTACCAGTCTTTGAAGCACCACCAGCAAAAATATCATCTAAAAGGTCCATGAGCACACTTTCAACACTGAAAAGAACAATAACTGATAAGACAAATTATAACCACTAAAATCAGTTTTAAAGAGTACGTGATTATATGTTTAGTATATTTTCAAGGCAAAATATATACGCAGACACTAAAGCCATGGTTTCTCATCTTTAGTGGGAGTGCACATTGAATTAGGAGAAAGATAAAGTCTAGGGTCTGCGTTTTTTCTATCTTCAATCTGTACATCATCAATTCATTATAATTCAGATTTCAATGTCAATGTCAATGTCAAACAGCTCCATAAGCAGAATCTACAAATTTCTACAAAATCTTAGTCTGTAAACTCAAAATCAAAATGTCCTGGAAGTTTTGAAGACAAAGATAGATTGTTTGCAAGGAAAGCCTAATAAATTTCACCAGTGCTTTCCCTTTTCCATGAAAATACCATGAGGCGTAAAAACCAATCGGTGGAACTCGATCAACTTACAGCTACTGGTGGCGAGAGATACGGCGGGGGAAGTGGAACAGCGGTGACGGTGTCAGACCGTCGGCCGTTTGGTTTCCGAGTGTGTGTTTGTTGAGATGATGCACCGGCAGAAATCGCCGGCCGATGAGAGGAAATAGGGGAAAGTAAAACCAGAGGGAAAAGCATCTAAAAATTAGGGCTAAATAGTGAATTTTGGGCAGTTGTAAAAACTTGTCACAAAACACGGATTACCTTTTTTTTATTAGTACTATTTTGATTTATTTATGACAAAAAAAATCATCTAATTTGTTACTCAAGGAATTAACAATTTGATTTATTTGCCTTTTACTAAATTACTTTGTTTTCATTAATTTTGTAAAGATCGTTAAACCTAAGTTCCTAAAATAAATCATAATACGACAGTTTCATTTTATTTATTTTTACGTATGCATAGTTTTAAATTTCAAAAGATGTCCCAATCATTTTATCATTAAACTTGCCAAATATGTCCCAATCATTTTATCATTAAACTTGCCAAATATGTTGAATTGATGATAAATATTAGTTGTAATTCATTTGAATTTTTGAAGAAATAAAAGTCAACTCCGTAGTTTTACCAAAAAATATTTCATCCACTTCATCTTGAGCACTCTCCGTATTTTGACAAGTTACTGAGTAGTAGTTTTTTTTTAACATATAAAAGCGTGATAATTCAATTATTCACAAAAATGATATATTGGGTGTGATTAGAAATGCTAAAAGTGTATTCTTTTTATTAAAAAAAAGTGAGTATTTTTTACCCCACTTTTAAAAGAAAATAAGTGTTTCTTAGGATAATAATAGAACTAATTTCAGAGCTTGAGCTTGTTTGCCTGACTGGTTGTGAACAAAATCTATTTGTGGAACCAACCACTAGTGCTTGGGCACTAAAACTTAAAAATAAGACCATATATGAGGAATTTGCTGAAGTCCATAGTATTCAAATATGATTATCCAGAAAAAATTTACTCAAATGAATTGAGGTAGGCAGTATTGACTTGAAAGCAAATTGTACCACAGGTTACATAAATATATATATATCCCAGCTAAACCACATTGTTGCATGACTAACTCGCAACAGCAATGATTCTGTAGGAAAACAAATCTGCTTCATTTTTCGCATTCCTATCTATGTAAAATGAATGCCTCTCATAAAATATTGTTTCCTAAAGAATTACAACATCTAAACCCATCCTATGAATCCAGAACAACCAGCAAATCTTTTTTTTTTTGAAGCAGAACTTTGTTCAATTAAACAATTTCCTACAATTCAGAGAGCACCCTGCCAACCAGAGCAAAAACGGTCAGGTCTAGAAAGGCATGCGCCCTGCAAGTCTGCTTTCTGATATTCTTCTGTCTATTGCCGCATCTATTGAGGTCATCTGAAAAAAGAAAGCACAGACAGATAATTTTAGGATAGAAGCGTGAACAAGTTAGGTAATCAGCACAAATGTATGAATCAAAATCATAGCCTGCTTCAATGACAATAGATTCTGAACTTGGCAAAAGAATCTGACCTGGGCCAAATTTGAACCACTTTTCAACCATAAATATCTATAAACAATCATAGTAATTTGCAAACATCTGTTGGGTCTATGCTTTGCTCACACAGCCCAACTCTTTCAAGGTCAAGTAAAGAGAACATGGAAATATCCAAGAACTAATACATGCACTCTGCTGAGATCCCCCTTGAGTGGATGGCAGCACAGTAATTAGAAATGGCAGTACTTAACTACCAGCAAAAGATAATGAAGATACATACTTGAATCATTGATGACCACAAAACTGTTGGGATTGCTTGCCAACCGGAGAATGGCCAAAAGAAGATAAAAGAAGCCCATTAATTAATGGGGTTGAAACATACACTAAATTGATTGATTACCAGATACTCATCCAAGAGTATGCTATTTCCAAGAAGATGAAGGAGAATGGGAAGACTTACAAATTTGCTTTACGAATACGAAAGAATAGTAAACAACTGAATCCGAGACATGAAACTAACATCAACCTACAACACAAGTCCCATATTCATAGGAACAAATACTAGTATTAGGTAATTATAACTTACCTGGCTAGTCTCATCATGCACCTGATACTTTGGTAAGGACATTCTTCTTTCCTCCTGAAAATATTTCACATCAGCACTCGGTATCACAAATTAACTGTAAGACATTAATTACATGAAAACGCAAACACTACTGACCATGGACATGGCCTCATCATCCCAAACTAAATAGACCTCATTTGTTGCTGGTTGGTTAGCTGGAGCTTTGTTGGTAATAACAGGTGGTGGACCAATTGAGGGCCCACCAGTATTTGGGCCAGAGGCATAAGAATGTGAATTTACCGGTGCTGGGACTGCAGAAAGAGTGAATGAAATGAGAAATGAAGAACCGACGAACTTCTCCACATTCTAAATGAGCCTTGATTCTTATAAGCATTAGCCACATAGCCAAGATTGACATATAAAAGCATGAATCAAACTCTACTACAGCAAAGCTCATCCAGAAAATCAGGTAAGATAGCTTGCATAGTATTTAACAGAAAATGCTATATGAGGAAAAAATAGGATGCCCTTTTCCTGTGCTTCCACAAGGATTCAGGTGAGAAAGATAAGAAAAATGGTATGTGTACGACGCCTGTAGACCACAGCCAACAGCTTCAACGTCAAATTTCATCATTATAAACAAGAATGAAACTAAGAACCCTCTTATCTCATTTTCCAACCCATGGCTTCATAGGGAAGTTTGATGACACCTAGATTAGTCCTCACTATCACCTCTAAATATTGTACTGGGTTAAAACCAACAAAATAATCTGATACCATGGGCTGCCCATTTTTTTCCTGATTTCTCACCAAAATATACTAGCATGTACATCAAATGAAGTTTGTACCATCACCTCATCTAAGCGACTAACAAATTTTCCCTCCAAAAGATGTCAAAACTACTTCCCATAGTTTGGAAAGAATCAAGGCCAACTAAAACACACTTCGCATTTTTATTTTTTTCGTAAGTAAGATATTTATAAAATGTACCAAAATGGTTCAGAATAGATTACAGGGCCTAAATTGCACCTCACACTCCAAACATACTACATCTTTTCCCCTGATAAGTAAAAAACCAAATACTTATTCCTACTATCAAGAGTACTACTATAACACCAAAAATACAAATTCTTGATGCATATGTTTTTAACTCTAGGTATCTGCAGGCGGCAGCCACTTCCCCTCAAAGCACTTTCAAAAACAATAAATGAATACTACTTCTTACTAAAGGATCAAAACAGAGCTGATTATCCTATCTTAAGGCACAACAGTAAATGGCAATAAGTAACTTCCCAACAGGAACCATGTTGAAAGTGTCAGACCTTCAACAAAATAGATAAAGACGTTACAATTCTAGACCTTAAATACCTGAAATCTGATAACCAATGGCGGCAGGAGCATTGCTGCCCATGTTTGGGTCAAATAAGCTCTTTGTTTCAGCTGCAGAGCTGAATGGCACACTAGTTGACAGCATCGGTGCTGAGAATGGCGAACTTTGGGCAAGGTGGTTGTTATTAGGAACAACAGGAAACAAGGGTTGAGATACAGGAACAGGTGGGGCCGGGAGCCCTGGAGGAGCAACAAGCGTTGGAGGTGCAGTGGCTGGCATTGGAGGCCTCATATTTTGCACAGGAAATAATGGTTGTTGTGGCAGACCCATCAGTGCAGGAGGTGGAACCGAGACAGCAGGATACTGTGAATACCATGGAAGATGGCGAGGGGGGACTGACCAACCAGCAGGAGGCATAGGCAGCGCAGGATTATAGCTACACCAAACAGACGGGATCCATGTAAGAATTTATACACCTATTACAGCTAGTGATTAGAAGTCTAAAGCGGCTAATAAATTCAACACATGCCCAAAAAACAACAAAATATAGACAAGAAGGTTGACAAGATATAAATGCAAAGGCTAAAATTTTCCCTAACATCCTCTTATTTTAATGATGGCAGTATCTTTTCCAAGTTGTGTGCTACTTGACTAATCCACCAGGTAGCTAATTAACATCCACAAGTGTAGGTGTTACCATACCGGTAAGTCGGTAACCCTGAGTCCCTGACTATCAACAAGAGTTACAAAATATGGATTCACACTAAGCGTTGTAACAGGGATTCGAACATGGAATCTCCAGACTGTTGCTCCTATTCCTCAACAACCCAACTATCCTATGGATACAATTTTTTGCATTACCTATAGGCCAGAACACTATGCCACACCATTACATAACAGAGTCGGAACTGAGATATTCTGATCATTACTATAATAATGAGCTTGAATCCTTTTTTTGAGGATGGTAACAATTAATCTATATATTCACAATAGGTATACTACATCCAAATATGTAGTTCCCCTTCACAAGTGTTACAAAACTTACACCTTGAACCCCTAGCAGCACTATTTTTTTACAAGTAATCTAAAACATAAAAAATATCTTCATTATTTTGCTTGTTTGACCTTAATGAGCTTCAATCCTTATCTCATATATTCATTATTTTGCTTGTTTGATCAAGTAATACTACTCCTAACATGGGGAATCGTTCAGAAGAAACAGTTGGTAATCCTAGAATAGAGAAATAAAGCAAGATGTAGCCCCCCCCCCCCCTCCCCCAACCTCCCTCTTTCCTCCCCTAGTGATAAGCAAGTTGTAGTTCTTAAGAAGATCAGAAGTAAACTATAGAAAGAACTACTATAGTTCAAAGAGAGAGCTTGCCTCTCGTTTTTTGCTAATCCATTGACTCAGGATGGGTTCCATGTTAAAAATTCTTAAAGTTACCCTCTTAAAAGAAATAGATGTTTTGTCCTTCTCTATAGATCGTTGTGTCATTGACTAGTCAGAATTGAAAATGTTTTCTTCTTTTCAAGAAACACTGTGACTCATATGCATTTGTTCTGTCTTGACCACAGATACTTATTCAAGGAATATACTCTTTGATATAGTGATAAATCGACATGAATGACAGTTTCCATCTTAAACAAAACTTATTCAAGGAGAACATACTTCAAGATGAACTGACTTCACACTTGAAGCACAAAATGAAGAGACTGTGTCCTGGATCTTATGCGGGCATGCATTCTCACAGACCCTAAATATCTTGCTAATAGAAAAAAATCATCCATATCCAAAGATTTAGCATGCAGCATACAAAAAGGGGAGGTTTTTAAAATAAGCTAACTCATGCAACAGCATATGAAAATGAAAGTATCATAAAGTATTCTAGCACAAAGGAACTGAAAAGAACAAGCATTTCTATTAGAAACATACAGTGGTGGCACTGCGCCAAAAGTTGCCCGGGGAGGATATCCTGGAATTGCACCACCAAGATACTGGGATGATGGAATGTCCACTTTGGCAGTTTTCGCTGGGGACTCATCTTCTACAGGAAAATAAAATCCAACAGAGAGACATATTTAGCTTTATGTAGTCATGAAAGTGAGCAGACAGAACAGGCCTATTAGTTTTTGTTTTTTTTTAAACTGATAAAAACAGGCCTATTAGTGACGGAGGAAAATATCTGCAGAAAGCTGAAAAGGCAATAAGCTCATACTAACTCAAACAAAGAAATGCACTAAAAGCTCAAACACAAAGGTAAAAAGCTTTAAACACCTAAAAGTATGGGTGTGCACTAAGATTAAACCGAAAAACCAAATCGAACCGAATTTATTTGGTTTGATTTTGGATTAATAATATACTTTGTTTGGTTTCAAATTTAGAAAAATAAAAAACCGAAAAAACAAAATAACCGAACTATATATTATATATATATATAAAAATATTTAGGTTTAGAATTAAGTTGGAGTTAACGACTTTTAATCTCTTTTTTGTTATTGCCTTCTCATTATGATTTAGATTATATTTTAGGTTTGTACATCTATAATAGGTATACTTTTTAAGTATTATGTTTTAAGTTTTACTTGTGACTTATATTAGAAAGTACATTAAGAAATTCAATATTATTACTTCTCCTTGTATTGTATTTTTTTACAAATTGCAAATATAACTTTGATTATGTTATTAATTATTGACATAACCGAACCGAAAAAGCCAACCAGAAAAGAGAAAAACCAAATAAGATTTATATTAGAAAGTACATTAAGAAATTCAATATTATTACTTCTCCTTGTATTGTATTTTTTTACAAATTGCAAATATAACTTTGATTATGTTATTAATTATTGACATAACCGAACCAAAAAAGCCAACCCGAAAAGAGAAAAACCAAACCAAATTTATTTTTGTTCGGATTCGGTTACACGTTTTCAAAACCAAAGACTGAAAAATCCACAAAACCAAACAGAAAAATCGAATGCACACCCATACCTAAAACCAGTGGACAGAAAATAAGGAATTCAGACATCAATTGCCATTAGTTTAGCAAGATGCAAGGTTGAAAAGCTTTAAAACAAACTTCCAATTTAAGAATGACACAGGGTTCTACAGAGGTGGAGATGCACAGGAGCCCATAATGAAACAGAGACTTAAACCCAATAGCATGGAGATGTTAAGATACAAGCTCCAGATTTCCCTTCGGAGGCATGAGGACATCCGACAAAAATGGGATGGATGATACAAGCTCTAGGCTTTGCTAAATTCAAGCAAAAGCCCTGAACATCTGTAGCATTATTTCAAATTTTCAAAACCCTGATTTAAGTTTATAAAACCAAGTTAAGAATATATTCTTCTTTGATAGCCAATGAAATCTCCAAGGGCCAGTCACGCATGGTTCAAAACTCGATGGATAATAAGGCTCCCCTCTATGTTGAGGAAACATTCTTTGCCACGAGAATAGCAATTCAACAGTACCAGTACATCTATGTTGAGGAAACATTCTTTGCCACAAGAATAGCAATTCAACAGTACCAGTACAATGGTATAACAAGAAAGATGCGAAAGCAAACGTTACTTATTTTCTTGCTACAATTCAGCAACCCATATGGCTCCTCCATGTCTTCAAAAAGGCAAAATTTAAGCACATCACGTACTGTTCTTACCTTCCTCTCCATAGTGAGCTGTTAAGACATCACTTGGGATTCCTTGCATTCCATATACTTCAATATCAGTAGACTCTCTGCCGGGTTTGGCATTTGGTACCCTGTAACAGCCAAATACGCTAGCTTAATGCATTTATTGCCAAAAAACAGATAAAAATGCAACAAAAAAAAAAAGTAGCATGAGACATTATCAGCATATTGGATTCCATCCTGCAAATGATCCCTTGGTAATTAGAGCAGGCAAGAAATTTTGGCAAGAAGCTTTAGGAATTTTGCTGTGGTAAGTGGGTCGGAAAAACAAGGTCAAACTTGCTTTAAAGTTTAAACATCAGAAGCACCCATCTACAACATCAACTGCAATTGTCTCCATCCCAAAATAGTTAGGGTCCGCTATATGGATCCCTAACATCTATTCTGCTCCATAGGACCTGTTTTATTGCAATACTCAATAATTTGACTAGGTATCATATATACGGATCATTTGTTTCCATTGTGTTCTATTCTACCCAAATAAGTATGACATACACAATTCTTTTAGTTGCATCAACAGGTAACAGTATGCTCTTCTACCATAACATTTTAACTTCTGAGACAGAGTAAATGACCTCTTTCCGCAGCTTCACATTAGGCAAATTCTATAGAAATGAAAATATTTCAAGCATAGGCATATTATATCTATATAGTTTTGGGGAGATGTTGCCCTACATTATAAACCAAAAACCTGAACTATTTTAGATGATGCTTTTTTTGGTGAAATAATTTTCTTAATGACAGGGAACTCCCAATGCACATATATTGATCAAGGGACAACATTTTTTATAAAGATGTATCAAGGGATTCATAACAAGAGAATCGAAAATAACAATTTTTTTTCTAGCTTCAAAGTTAGTAGACATGAACAATCACAAAGCCTTGGAAATATGGGATGGTATTTTGGAGAAAACTGAAAAGAAGCTCTCTGGATGGAAGGCTCAATATCTTTCACTTGGAGGACGATTGATCTTAATAAACTCTGTTCTTGATTCTCTGCCCACTTATGTGATGTCTCTATTCCCAATCCCAGGAAAAGTAGTGGAAAATCTGGATAAGCTAAGGAGAAAATTCTTATGGCAAGGCAACAAGGATGGAAAAGGCTATAGCTTAGTAAACTGGGAAACTGCTCTACTTAGCAAAGACAGAGGGGGGCTGGGAATTAAGAACTTGAAACTACAGAATGAGAGCCTATTGAAGAAGTGGTTGTGGAGGTACACTGAAGAGAGAAATTCCCTCTGGAAAGAGGTGATCATAGCAAAATATGGTGAGTTAAACCCTTGGTGTACAGAGATCACAACAGAACCTTATGGTGTGGGTGCATGGAGATCAATTAGAAACTTGTGGTCACAAATGGAGACAAATTTATATATCAAGGTGGGAAGTGGCACTAAAACAAAATTTTGGAAGGATGTTTGGATAGACCAATCCCCTCTTAGAGACCTCTTTCCAGATCTCTTTCAAATTTGTGGAAATCCTGATGCCAATGTTGGCGATTGCTGGACTGAACAGGGCTGGGATCTAGTTTTTAGAAGACTTCTCAATGATTGGGAGGTGGAAAGGGTAGCTGAGATATTAGGGATGCTAGGCGGAGTGACCATCAATGCAAATGCCACAGACAGGATGTTGTGGAAGCACAGCAAAGATGGCCTCTTCTCAGTCAACAGTGCTTACAGAAGAGGTCTCCAGATGATGGCAGGGAGACCAACACACCTCTGGAACTATTTTTGGAAGGGGGATATTCCTACAAAAGTGAAATGCTTCACTTGGCTAGTGATAAAGAGAGCTTGTTTAACACAAGAAGTACTTCAGAAGAAGGGTAGACAGCTGGTCCCTAGGTGTTTTTTATGCAATTTGACAAGTGAAACTAACAGCCACCTCTTCTTGCACTGTAATTACACTGCTCAAATCTGGAATTTGTTCCTTAGCATCTCAAATCTGAATTGGACAATGCCAGAACGTACATCAAACGTGTTGAAGAGCTGGATAAGGAGAGGGGGTACCAAGAGCCAGAAGAGATGGTGGAGGTTAATACCATCATGTATATGGTGGTCAATCTGGAAGGAAAGGAACAGTAGATGTTTCGACAATAGATCCAATTCCATACACAAGGTCAAATGGAATTGTATAGTATCTCTACTTTTTTGGTGTAAACAGTTGTGTATAGTAGATACAGATCAGATTGTAGATTTGATAGGAAGTTTGTAATTGACACTTTTTGGTGGTGGCCAGCATGCCCTTAATGCTGAAGAATACAACTTTACCAGTTTCAAAAAAAAAAAATTACTTACAGGTTACATAACAAATTTTAAATTTTCTGCATCAGTCACATTATGACTACTTGAAAATAACCATATCATTCTCTAGTATGACCAAATTCTCGAGCTACTTTTAATTCTTTTGTGTCCCAAAATTTTCTCATCAACTAAACTATGTTCTTAAACAGCCTTCAAGGTATCTGCTCAAAGTAGTACATCCACTCACTATGTCACACGCACACCCAATGAATTCCGTGTTCCCCAATCATATCTCATAGAGTTTTCATGGCTTCAACATTTTGTTCCCTTCTGTGGAAGATGGAACACGTCCACGACAGCACCAACAAAACATACAAAAACCACTCTCAATGCTAAAGGACAAGAAATATATCAACGCAGATGGCTAAAAAGGGCAAATTTAAGAATGTATCTAGAGAATTATCAGCAAAAAGAAATTACTTACTGGCTGACGGTTTCTTTGTGAACCTGGAGAACGTGAATGGCCATGCCGCCAGCAGTAGAAAGCTTCTTATGGCAAACATGGCATTTGAAGTGTTTAGCCTTTTGATGCTGAACCAAAATCTTCTCATCATCGAACTCCCTGTCACAGTAGTAGCACCATACCTTATCGGTTGATCTCTTCTTCTTCTTCCCCATTGATCCCTACAGAAAACCCAAAGTGCTCCTCGCTATAGCAATTGAATCAAATCGGAAGAAATTAATGCGTGCTGATCCGCTAGGGTTCCGAAAGCGATTTGGGATTGAACAGTGGGGTTTTTCTCTCTCTCTGTTCAAGGAAGAGAGTTAGGGTTTCTGAGAAAAACGGGAGAGGGAGGGAGTGGGAGACAATTCCTAATAATAAAAGTTCATAAGTAGATTTTGTATTTTATGGAAAAAGAGCTTGGCTACTTATATGGAGTATTTTTTAAGCTAATAGTAAAATGAGTTTACTATTTTATCCCTTTAATCGATAGGGGACCAAATATATTTACTTACTATATTTTTTAAATATATCAATTTAATATTGATAAATTGAGGTTATAATAGAAAAAAATTGTTATTTCTTGATTTGTTAAAAATAACAAGTAATTATAAAATATTTAACAAATAAATAGGGACGAAGGCATTATTTTTTATATTTGTATTTAAATTGGATTCGTGAGGTGAATATAAATATTGAAAAGTCAAATAGAATTGAATTAATTCGATTCTTTAGCTCAAAATTTGCAATCTGAATACAATTGTTTTCTTCCTAAAGTGTGATTCTTCAATTTGATGTTTGGTTTAAGAGTTTCAAAACTTTAGTGTAACAAGGAGTCAAACATTTGAAAATTAAAACTTTGATCATTTATTAATAACCTTTTTTTATAGGCATTTTCTGAGTAAATGGCTAAAAACATTTCTTAACTATATTTCACACTCAAATTATATCTTTATGTTATTACATTAAACAAAAAACATCCTTCAACTATCTAAAAATTTGCAAGTTACATCATTTTGTTAACTTTCTATCAAAAAACTAACCACTTCAACTAGAAGCACACGACTTTCCGATAAATGCAAACAATTTTGCCCACTCACTGATCTTCCCTATCAAGTAGTAAACTAGTAATCATATTAAAAGGTATTCTATGGCTAGCATTATTGTAGGAATATTAATTAAGGCCTAAAGATTTATAACTTGGGACTTGTTCAACTTTAGTTTGTCTTTTTTTCTTTTTTTTTTTTTTTTTTTTACTGAGCTTGTTATTATGTTGTTAGCTTTCCTATCAAGAATCTTATTGATCCCATGCTACTCCGAGTTTGTTTTATTTTCTCATTTTCTAATTGTTACGTTACTCCTCCAACAGCTTTCACCAAATTTCCTATACTCTCAACTAATTTAGTGTGTGTTTTGATGCTGGGAAAAACAATTTTTAAAAATATATTTTCAATTTTTCATATTTAATTGGCCAAAGCTTTTGAAAAATATTTTATCTAAGAAAACAAGTTCTTAAAATATGAGAAAAATGACTTGTTTAATAGACGTAGGAAAAAAAGTTCCACAAATGACATTTCAAATTCATTCACAAGTCCTTCTAGCAAAGAAAATCCTTCTGACATTTCAATGCATATATTGTTATTTGGTTTTTAATGGATTTATAAAAAAAAATTATTGGGTTATTGGTTCGGTTTCTATATTTACTATTGAGTTATTGGGTAAACCAATAACCCAATAAGATGGTAATAATTAACTACTTTACCCTTCCTAAATATTAAATATTAATAATTTAATATATAACTAGACACTATAACTATATCAATGTATTAGTACTCTACCCAATTCACACTAGACCGATTTACTAGTCTTTACCATTTACTCAAAACCTAAAGACTAAAGTAAGGGTTCGCAATTGAAGCTATTTGATCTTAGTTTTTGTTTTAGTTTGTAATTGTAGGTTGTAGCTTTTGCAAGTTTATAAAAGGCTGCAATTTGACGAACATCAGAAATTCCATACTATGTTTTGGCGGTGATATGTAATTATAGCCTTCGTACTATATTTTCTCTTATTGATGCAATTTCTCATTATCTTTTTTTTTTGTTTCACTATATCAAAGCATTTAGAGAAGTGGAAAGTCATATAATATTTTACAGACATTTTCTTATTGGGTAAATCGAAAATTGACCAAAAATCGATAAAAAATATCTCATTGATTTGTTATTGAGTTATCATATTTAAAAACTGAAAATCGATAAACCGAACCAATAATACATAAAATCAACCAAATTGACTGATGCACACCCCTATTGATAACTAAAAGTTAAACCAATCACATAAAAAATGATTTGTTTTCTTAATTAAAAAAGTTGATGTATTTGGTCGATTTAGAAAACAATCTCTATTTGATTGACGAATCCCAGTAATTAAAAGAAAATAGTTAATTTACACAAATGTTCGTTATAAGACTCTATTTAAAATTAGTCTTTTACATTGAAAAATTATAAAAATATAAGTTTTTTGTTTTAAAAATATTATTTTAATAACATTTAATCTAAATCAAATATTAACTTATATATTATTTAATATTACTAACTAAACATCCTATCTTCTAACATTTGTAATAATAAATATTCCAAGAAAAAATTAATTTACCCATTCATTTTTAAAATAAATACATCTATTCTTCAAAATACTTTCTCGATATATTTACTCCAAACCACTTAGGAGCCGTTTGGTAGGAGATAAATACAATGTTTGGTTGCACAATTCAATTCAAGCACACCTAATACATAAATAACTTGATACATCATATGTGGTCTAATCTAATATCGAGGATGTCTAGGGATTACTAATCCAAGGTTTACTAATCCTTGGATAATGAATCAAATGACTGAATAGCCCCTCAATTTTTTTATACATCCCTTAGAATTGGCAAAGATATTCACGCTATTCTGCTCTTTGGAATTGTTTGTCATCAAAGTTATACGATTTCGTTTGTATTCAAATTTTAACTGAAAAGGAATTTTCTCTCAAAACTTTTGCTATTGTTTTCATAGCAGTAGTTGGAGCTTGGCCTTCCTTACAACTTCAAGAAAAAACTGTAGATCTCGTTGGCTACTGTTTTTTCCTGTTTTGTTAAGAGAGGAGGGAGGTAAGCCTGGGTCATGGGTACTTAAAATAATTTCATCTCGTTTATAACGTGAGACTTTCTCAAGTGAATTAAATTTGTTAAGCACTTCACATTCAAGTTTTAAATCACAATAATATATGGTAATTACATTATATATATAACATAATAATTCAAGGGTAAAATTGTTTTTTTTTTTTTTTAGAGTTCTAAACCAAACACAAGATTAGGTTAGAAATAATGAACCAAATACTTCATAAAAAATAATTCCTGCTACTAGCATTGATAATCCCTAGATTACTAATTTCTGCATTATTAATCTTTGTACCAAACGACCCCTTACATTTTTCTACATCATTAGAGAGTTTCTTCGGACATTCAAGGGTAGGTCGGTAATTTCCCTTTCTCTCTTCCTTCTTTCTCTGCATCTTTTATCTTGCTCTTTGTTATTCTGAAAAACTTTCTTACTTTCCTTTATGTTCCATGGAAAAAAAGTAGATTCTTTTTTCTGCCCAATTTCGGAGACGCACGTTTCAGTCCAATTCCTCGTAGATTTGCTCCTACGAACAAAAAGGTACACTCCTCTCTCTGCCTCCTTTGTTTGGTTTGTTGCTTGTTTCCCATTCATTCATTTTCTGGGTTTTCCTTCCAATCGGAAGTTTTCCCTCTCGAATCTACCACAAAAACCCTAACTGGAGGTGTATCTTTTCGCCTTCATTTGCTTGGTTTATGTGTTGTTTAATGTTCTATTTGCTAATTTGAATTGTTACCTTCCGCTTAAACTTAATGTTAATTTGGTTGGTTTGTTGAATCCGGAAATATCTCTTGCACTTTGATTTTGCTTTGGTTTAATCGCTTTGCTTCTTCATTTCAGTATTCCCAATTTGTAATCCTTATAGTAGGCTAGAATTAGTTGTTTTGCTATGTGCCTTTTTCGCACGCCACGTGTTACAACATCCACGGAAAGGGCTCTGCGCTGTGGGTCTAAAATTTTGTCGACTGCTATTCTAGAATGTTACTTTTATACTATGTGAAAAATGTCAGTTTGATTTCTTGGCCAAATTCAAAAAACGAAGGATTTTCTGTTGATTTAGCCGACCACCGAAACTTTAACTTGAGTACTTGTGATATTGGTTTGTGGTTCTAACTACAGTATTACTGATTTTGCTAAAACTATGGAAAGGTACGCGATTACTTGCACTTACGCCTCCGACTCATGTTTACCTCCACCTTTAGATAGTACAAGCTATATGATAGGATTGATGGCCTTGAGGTGTTTGATATAATTGATATAAAGTTATGTTTATACAATTGTTTTAGAAATAAATATAATTAAGCATTTGATATGTCAAAATTTACCATGTTCACTACGTGTTCGACAATTTGTTCGGAAGGAAAAAAGAAGGAGTAGTCATCAATAATAATAAAATGTTTAAAACATATGAATACTCAAGACTGAACTAACTCACTAACTTTGTCTATCTATGAGACCTCTACTAACTGAACTATTAAACTAGTGCCCTCCAGAGAGTGAAGAGGTCTCATGAAATATATTATGTAATACCCAAACACATTTACTGTCCCATGGGGAGCCCCGAGTAGTTTACCGGACAGATTGAGTTGTGGGGACTATACTTGTCAACATCGAAAATTCTCTTCAGCAACTAGGCTATGGAAGAGATTACTACAGAGCTATATGCAAAATTGTTTAGTCAATGGGTGTAAATTATCACTACACTTGCAACTGCTATGTGATAGTCGATATGAACTTAGTATATGTGTATTTTAAATTGCTCAATTAATGTATAGTTAGTTGAGGGTGGTACGACTGCCACACCACATCGTACCAGGGGTTAGTGATAGTTTCACTGATTACTTTTACTGTAGTTCGATATATATGCTCTGATGCTTTTGTTTTGCGAGTTTCAGAATGAACACTCTTTGTTTCGATTTTACTTCCTTATGATTAATCCTCTTCTTTAGTCTTCAAATATTGATATATTAGGCATGCGTTGACTGTCCTATCATTACGTTCTTCTTGTGCTCAAAGATGTAACATTCTTCACCTTTCTGGTTTGCCTCCTGAAATGTGAAAAATTGTTGGTAGATACTTGAACATAACAGGCTGTGTTATCCTTATAGTTGGTAACACACATCATCTCTTGAGCCCATATGCAATATTGCGAGGTGCTGATAAAGTTGCATTATTACGTACGTGTGA